TAAATAAATAAATAATATATATATATATATATATATATATATATATATATATTAGAACATTTTGGTTATAGATATGTTTGGAATTGTTTCACTACATGGGTTGATTTTTAAAAAAAATTATAAAAAGGTTGTGGGACTTCCAAAATGGAGTTCTAGTTGAAGTACATTGAATGGTATTAAATGAGCGGGTGATGGGTTTGTAGGCTGCCCTATGAAACCAGGGTCAGGGCCACAACATTTGGCCCATAGGCCGCTCTTGGGCTGGGATACATCGACCCAAGGGCCAGGTTGGGCCAAGCCGGGCCTAGGCCAAGGGTCAATGCTAGACCGCCACCCCGACTTGTCTTCTCTTATATTTGTGTTTGCGTCTTGTTGACTAGGCCTCCTGCCCCACCCTGAACCACGGCTGCTTTGGACCACTATGTCTAGCTCTCAAGGACCCGGACACAACCTAGGCCTAACAGTTGCCCGTCCTAGGTTCAATTTTCCAAAGTCATCCAAAAAATGTGACTGAAATCAGATAATGCTTCCAGTTGGAGTATATCCATCAGATCTAACAAACGAACTATTTGAAACATTCATAAAAAATTTCAACTAAAAGCTTAATCTGAGCAATACCATAGAATTCTTCAATTATAGCAGCATGAAGGATGGTAGCACCACTGTTGCTTCTCACGCAACCCTCAACCCTCCCTACCATAGTGAGATATGCAAAAACAGCCTTATGACCATACTTTGCAGCGACAAAGATCGGAGTCTCTCCACTATGGTTACGAACCGTAACTGATTCTGGCTTCTTCCTTAACACTGCCTGAGCCTTCTCGATGCTCCCAACCATTGCCGCCACATGGAGAATCGTATTACCTTGTTCATCGACACAGCTCAAAGCGTCCTCAGTTGCCATCTCCAAGAGCTTGTTGAGGACTTTGACATGGCAACATTGTGTGACTAGGTGAAGAATTGTGCAGCCAATGGACGTATCGGAGGCGTTTTGGTTATTTGTTATCTCCTGGTAGAAATTGTGCAGGGTTTCACATTCCTCATTTATGGAAGCTTTGTACATCTTTCTTTTCTGCATCTCATTTATATCTACATAGAAACCATCAATACTCACATATTTGACATGAAAATTATCAGTCCTTCAGAGGCTTCCATGACTAAGCTCAAAATATTGTAGCAATGTAGAGAACTCAAGAGCATACGTGATACAAGAAAGTAAAAGCCATCACATGTTTTTCTAATGGAATTTGGCTTTGTAACCATTTAACAGAACCGCACAACATGGTTGAACCACAACTCAGGCCCTGTTCCCTTTGACACCAGACCTCGGACTGGGTCAAAGAGGCCGTAGCCCAGGCCCAGCCATGGCCCTACCGGACATGTCAGGCCGCACTAAACAAAAACAAAGAAAAACAACAAAGGGAAAGGAATAAAAAAAAGGGTCGATCCGGGCCAAGCCGGTCCTGTCTTGGCCCTGACGTCTTGGCCCTGGCCCATCCCTCGGGCCATATTTTGTGGCCTGAACCCTAATTTTTTAGGGCCGGGCCACCCGGCCCTTGCCACCCTTACTTAAATGTGGCTTGCGCTTCTCTCTTCCTCTAGGGTTCCTTAATGATCATGAAACCTTTTCAAGGGTCCCTTAATGATCATGAAACCTTTTCAAGGGTCCCTTAATATTCCTCTAGGGTCCCTTAATGATCAAACCTTTTCAAGGATCTAGTTATGATAGAATTTATTATAGATCAGCTCATGGCAATTAGAATCGATGTGACCTAGATTCAATTTTGGAAATCTGCTTTTTGATGGATTAGGATTTAAATTATTCTTTGAATTTGAATATAATATATTGTTAAACTTACGTAGCCGAACTAATATTGGATGAGATATATTACATCATCTGTGTTCACAATCCATAAAAATCAGCAAAGAAAAAAGGTGACAAACTTTTAATGGAATTGCTCCAAAATTATGACAGTATGCATTTTTCATTACAACGCATGTTGTTTTGACGCATTTACTCATCCCTCCAATGATGACCAAAAATGTGAAAAAGAAATTAGGAAAATATTACTTAAGATGGCTTAACGCATCAAACAATTAAAGGTGCGATATGCATAGAACCTAGGCTCTTAACAATCAAATTAGAGCTGCCTTCAAATAGTGTGGAGAAATATGGTTTCAACAATGGAAATCTTTATGATAGCCTTAAAATATATTTTCATCTTTATTTATAAAGTTTAAAGCTTCAAAACTAGTGTAGATCAATAGATCTATAAAAACATGAAAATATTGAAAATTGACGGTCTAAAAATGTGTTACAAAATGCATTATTTTCAAAACTTTAAATCCAGTTTTTTCTCACGTTCATGTATCTTGATATTGAGATGATCAATTTGAGGATATTTAAACATCAAAATAACCTTTTCTAATGAAATTTTTGGGCTAACCTCTAATTTGATTGTTTAGAGCCTCGGCTCTATATAAACTTTTTCCAACCATAAAGTAGGCTGTTAAATCAACAATTTTATCGACAAAGATTTACGACATACAAATTCTCTCAATTAGGTACTTCCATAGGAGTTTTATTAAAAAGACCTAAATTTCTCTTGGGTTCTTAACCCCAAATAAGTGATACTTTTTGGTAATTTGAATCACTTAAGTTATTTGAATAAAATAACCTAAATACCCCTACTTATTCTGTATTCCAATTACGAAACATGTTTAGATATTAAAAAATACTTTCTTGGACTGAAAGCTCTATAACGTACAATAATTTTTGTACCTTCACCCCTCTGAAGTTACCTGAGTGAAAAACAAATAAATGTCCTTACTTGTAAGCGGTCCCAAATTCATAATAAGATTTTATAATAAAAAATATGTTTCGAGTTGAGAACTAAAAACAAGGACTATTTGGCTCATTTTGACCATGTAAAATATGTTATCAAATTATCAAAATAGCCTCACTTGATAAGAATTCCAAAATTTGAACAATGGTAGTTTACTCATTTTTTAACAAAATAATTAAAGAGGTACCCACATTTTTCAGCAAGTTGGTTGATTTTAAAACCTCATTGATTTTTAGGGAACCTCCTGGGTTCTCTTGGTTATAGACAGAGGACACCGTTTGAGCAATGTAATTTACCATATTCAGGGATCCATAATGGCTCATGGAAAGCATGGCCTATCTTAGGAGGCCCTAAAAATGAAACGACACGGTTTCTATGAGTCCATATAGAAATGAGTCCCCTCTTAAAAACCTATTTTTGAGTTGGATTTTTTGACCTTATTTTTAAGGACACATAACCTCTAACACGGAGATCATGAATATCGATAAATAAATAAACTTTGAAAATTAAATAATAATTTTATAAAGAAATCATTTGAGCAGTTAGTTTGTCTGATTTTAGATGGACCGCCCATATGCACCCATCTTTAAAGTGGATGCTTTATACCTCTGGGGAAGCAAATGTAGAAATGCATCCCTCCGAGTCATGAAACGATTTTTCGGAATAAAATATGGAAAAGTATCATACATTTTATAACATTGTTTGTTCAAAAACATGCTACTAACAATTCTGACAGTCAATGTCGCAACCGACACACTGTCGAGGAGCTGTTAGCATATTGTTCTTAAACAAACACATACTACAATTTTTCTGTCTCACAGAAGAGTATTTATGGCATGAGAAAGCTTACCACAAGCATGGCTTCTTGGAATTTGATTCCTAAATCTTGTTTTTTTCAAAGAAGTAAGAATGTACCATGCTTCCTTTGCAGTTTTAGCAGTTGATATATGAAGAAAGAGTTTAGGGTTTATGGAGGTCTTGAGGATGTAAAGAACCTTCCCATCCTTTGCACTCCATTCCCTCTTTTCATTCTCATCATTTGTTTCTTCACTCTCATAGGAGTCAGAGATTACATCAAGTAAGCTATGTGCCTTCAAGTAAGAATGCATGCATGATTTCCAGTAATTGTAATTCTCATAGTCATCTTGCAATTCATACTTGAAAGTGGAGAACTGAGCAATATCACCCATTCAAATGCAAGAGAACTCTTTAAGAATGGAGAGTGGGGGTGGTTTGGATTGTTTGAGACAAGATGTATGACTACTTGTAAGAGAGGAGATAGAACCTGTTGAGTGTGCTTTTAGTGAGAGAGGGGGGTGGCTGTTATGGATAACCAAGGCCAGGGTATATATAGAAACATGTGTAAGCTGATGGTGTGAAGTGTAGTAGTAACAAATAGGGGTGTAGATGGCCTGGCCTGGCCCGGCGGGCTTGGAAGCCCCGGCTGTACATGGAGCAGTGTTTGCAAGAGAACTCTTTTTGTATTTCTTTTATTTTTTTAACACTTTTTGGACTGGCTGGTACCTGCCCGGTTAGTTCGGTTGAATTGGTCGGTTTACCGGTTACTCGGATTCGGCCCTTGACCGGTTTCTGAGGCCAGTATGATTTTTGGAACACTGAGATAGAGTGTGTTTTGGGCCCTTTGTAGGGCAGTTTAAGCCAATTGGTTTAAAGAAGTGGGCCTTACTATTAAAGCCCGAGAGGTTGCAATTATATGACTTTTCAGTTGAACAAGATACAAAATGGGCCAGCCTGATCTCGTGGACTTGAAGGCCTGTCCGAACATGGGCAGATTTTGTAAGACCGTTTGATTGGGCAGGTCTCTGCCTGTTTAACGGGTCCAGTATCAACTTTGTCGAGGTCCAGCCCGCTCACACCCCCCTACCAAGTGCGCTGATGAATCGGAAAGATAGTTATAAAGCTTGCGGGTATCTAAGAAAACCTGAAGTAAGAAGGATGTTTTCTTGAAGGCTTCTTGAGAAGGTTTTTCATGTGAAGGCTTTTGAGGAGAAAAAGTAGATTGCAGCATGTTAAAACAAAAAATAATAGCTTCTTTGTGACTTTTCCAAAAATTTTCTTTTTTACTTCTTTTTTTTTTTTCCTTTTATAACACCATTTTCTGTTTATAGCATTATAAAACATAAACATCAAACCTGTAATCCATTTTCGTGTGGACATTTTCTGAACATCCGACGATGTTTATTGTAGTGTTCTTAGTGGATAGTAATCGTTTACCTTTGGTACAAGGAAGTCACAATTACTTATAACTATCCAATGTGAAATCTGACGGCTTAGGTGTCCTTTAAAAAGAATTTCTTTCGATCGTTGTGCCTAGTTAATATAATAAATACAGCAGCCTAATTTCATATCGAATGATTAAGATTAATTGTGAGCTTCATGTACTAAATATATATAGTGTCATTATGTACTTTTCCTATTAAAAATTGAGCGCACAATAATCCTTTCCTTTCAAGGATGATCCAACAGCAATTTTATATGACCTCAATTCTCAAAAACAAAGATTGAACTCAGTACTTGACACGGTCCCGAGTCCGAGTTATTCATACATACTCAACTAGGGTCTCGAGTCCGACTTGTCCATACATACTCAACTAGGGTCCCAAGTCCGAGTTACCCATACATACCTGAATCTTACTGAGACTCCCTGAGTCTGTACAAGTTATAGCACTAATCCATATATTCATATGCGTGTATCATAACAAAATTATAAAAATTACACAGGGACTCTCATGCATTCTTATGAAAATGGAAGAGAAAATGGTATAGATTTTAGATTGTATGTAGCACGTTATTTGTATATTACATGTAGCACTCACTATCCTTTTGTGTGTGGATTTACCCATAAAATAAAGAAATTTAAATTCTGTCTTTTGATTATGTGATGACCTTTATATAATATATAGTATTCTAAAAAACGTGCACCTTTGTGAAAGTGGAGAAAGAGATTATGAACTCAAGAAAATATTTAATAATGGATGAGAAAGAATGAGGGGACTTTGCGTGAAAAGATTAGGATCTGAGGGGAAAAGCTCACTGAGATTTGATTAGGAGAAAGATGGGTTTTACAGTGGCTCCCTGAAAACCTGAGAGATTTAATGGTGAAGCAAATAGAGAAGAATGGTCCACAAAGGCTAGAGATCATGCAGTTGCAAACGGCCTGACCATGGAATTTATATTTTGTTATTTGCTTTTATTTTTTTGGATTTACAGCTTTAATGTCGCTTGGTTAGTAGGCAATGCATTGTTCCAAAAAAGTGAAAGTCGGGAGTGGGAATGTAAGCAAGGCATCATTTATAAAAGGGAAAGTAGCCAATGCACTGTCTAAAGTAAAGTGAGCCAATGCATTCTCTGATAAAGTTCTTGAAATGAATAGTGTTTTTGTTCTTTTTTAAGAACTAATCCTATAATTTTATGTCGAGGTGACGATTTGGAAAAGCAAGAGGATAGCCCATGGTGACGATCCCCCCGTGGCTACCCGCAAACCTCGTGATCCTCCTTCTCGTTCTCGGGATGGCCTTGTGCAGTCCTTTTCCTCTTCCAATGATGCATCTATGAATGGCAACTTGGCTGCAATGAGATCCAATGCGCTTCAACCAACACTTCCTGTTAATGGTGATCTCATGCATTCCGCAGCAGAACCCTCTTCCGCATTACCATCGCTGAACAACTTCCCCCTCTTTATTCTGGTGGCGACGGTCCTCCCCCTTCTACACTTAGGGAGCACGGCTCCATTGTTGGAAACTCTTGCAGCAATGTGTGGATGACTGATTCTTCGTCTCCGATTTACCTCTTTGGGAAGCACATCGTATAGAATGGAATAGTGCATTTTGAAGATTCAATTGTGGAACCCCACAAATTGTTGAAGGCGTTCTTATACAACTTATGCGAGATGTGTAGGAAGATGGAGTTGCTCGTTTTTTGCTTACTTTCTTGGCAGCAAGCATGAATGGAAGTATATGAAGGCCATGCTGGTTAAGATGTGGCGCATTAAATCTGATTTGGAGGCAACAAGCATGAATGGAAGTTTATGAAGGCCATGCTGATTAAGATGTGGCGTATTAATTCTGATTTGGAGATCATCTCGCTAAATGATGGGTATTTGCTGTTCAGGTTTAAATCGAGCTATGAAATGAAAATTACAATGACCGAAGGTCCGTGGTTTATCAATAAGAAGTGTCTTGCTCTACACAAATGGATTCCAAATCTTGTTCGCTCTATGAGGGATTTTAGCACTATTCCAGTTGGGATCAAGCTTCCTAAACTTCCTCAACAATGTTCGGAGCCAGAAATCTGATGCTCCTTGCATTCCCTTACAAACTGTAAATCCCAAAATTGCTGATCAAGATTACGCATCAAGCAACTCCATAAAAAAAAGCTACTATTTTTTAAATGTATAAATCAAACTACAATCAAATTCTGGCGATGTTAATAACTATATTTACTATATAAATAGGCAGCACTCAGTACAAAACACTATTTGTATATGTATAAAACAGGAAGGAATGACAAACTTAAAGTAGCACCAAAGGAAAAAAAAAAAATGAAATCATTGGCTGAGAACTTCATCAATTATTTTGAAGTGTAGCTATGTTTATTAAATCCAATCCAAGATTGGCTTTGCTGAAGAATTTTTGCAATCTTACCCCTTTTTTCTCCTTTTTTTTCTGCCCAAAATACCTTGCTTTGGAGCTAGCAGTTCTGCACCAATGTCTTTCACTAGTAAGACACCAATAAAGAACTACCACTACTGAACCAAATTTTTCGTGTACAGTAAAAGTAAGACTAATGTGATCTATTACTGTGTACACAATTTTATACAAAACACCATTTCAGCAGTTTGCGAATATATGTTTTTGTTATTGTTGTTACTACTAGTTCTGAACTAGCTAAAATTTTTGGCACAAAACACAGAAGGGCCCTAATTCTAAACCGGTATTTTGTACATGAAAACATTGGTTCAGAACTATACTTTCTCAAACAAACAAGAACAACAAAAAAAACATTAGCTCAGAACTACCCATTCTGAACCGGTGATAAAGATATCATTTCCGAGCTACCAGTTCCAAACCTGGGGAATTTTGAAAAGGAAAAGTCAAAAAAGGGACTTGAACATAAAATGTAAAATATTAAAAATAATTTTTTGGATTAATATTTATAGGAGATATTAATATAATTCTCTAATAATGAGAATAATGTTAATGATGATATTACAAATCAAAATCCTTATTTCTAGGAATTTATATATATTTTTTTAATTCTTTTTAAAATACTGCTTGAACACCAAAACCGCCCATAACCGAAACAGATCAGTAGCCAATTCTGACATAACCAAGCAGTTAGTGGTTAAATCGTCCGGTTTTTCCAATAGTGGCTGGCATACCCAAAAAAAGATAAATAAATGAATAAAAAGAGTTGAATTCCTTTACACAAGTTCAAATCCTTGAAGAAAAGACATAAATTAATCAACTCATTTTGAGGACCAGCAATGTAATAATATTGGTTTATTAACTAATGAAAAAAAAATTATATAAAGGTGCAACCTTAAAATGTAGAAGTAAAGATGCAACTAAAAAATTTATCAAAAAAAGTTAGTTTTAATACTTAAAAAACCCCTAATTGATCATCTCGACATCAAGATGTATGAATATAAATAAAAAAATATTTTGAATCCCAAAAATAATGCATATTGCGACACATTATCTAGATCATCCATTTTCAAGATTTTCAAATGTTTATAGATCTACTTGATTTTAACCATTTTTGGAGTTTAAAATTTTATAATTAGAGATGACAATAGGTTTTAAGATAATATTAAGAACTTTTTCCATCAAATTACATGTTATGATAAAATTTGGAGGTGTGCTTTAATTGGATCGTTTAAGGTTGCAACCTTACCCCTAACTAATTGCTCATATTTTGAACGTGAAAGTCAATATAATTAACGATCCACCCTTCACCCAAGGGTCAATACATATGTCTATACTATATAGCTCCGCCTTTGAGTCTAACCCCAACTGAATCACTCTTTTTTCTTTCTTTCTTTTTCTTTTTTTTTGGTTTTTTCTTATTGAAAGAGATAGAATGCATCTCTCATTACCAGTCTTTAATCACACTTGATCAGAGAAACAAAGGGGGGTAACTCTGTTTTGCCAAAAAATTACATCCAAGTACATAGATTCTCATGAATCCTGAGAAACATCACCATTCCAAGGAAACAATACTTATTAAAATACAAAAATATGAAACCCTAAATTTACAGCCTCCCCATCTAGAATGAATATGCTTTTACGTAATATAAAACACGACAGCAGAAGCGATCACCCGTGAGAGCATGGGAACCGATACCTTAAAATTCCGAAGAATTGAGAGAAGCCATTCAGTCTAGCTTAACGTTGGAGTAAAGAAGGGTGTCCCTTGTAATAGGCATGTTGAACATGAAGTAAAGCTGTTGCAGCAACATAAACCATGTCATCAATTTCAAGGAAAAGACATTTGTTTCCAAGTAAGTAATTTTTTAAGAAGAGAAAGTAACAAAGACGTTACTCAAATTCCTGAGAGATATTTCTTTGTTTTAACATAAACTGTAATAGAACAAGCACAAACCATCACCATGTCTAAGGAAGCAATCAAAACAAATGATTCTTCTCCAAAGAAGGTTATTGATCTCAAAAAAATAGAAATCAATTAATTGACTTTTATTAGCTCTAGCTTGCATGGTAATGAAGGGAAAAACCAATTATTGAAAGAAATTCATATGTAATGAATTATCAAAATATGTTGTCCAAAATTGAGTAAGGCGCATAGTCTTACCCCAATGAGAGTTGATATGACGAGAATAACTCCTGTTATCCAAGCTAGACTACTCCGAACCAATAGCACCTCTGCTATTGCAGTCACATTTGTTGGAGCAGCCTCCTCCAACCACCTTCGATCTTGAAAGGAGGACTTCAACCCCAATATTGGTTTAGATGCAGGATCGCGCTTCTCATGGATAATGAGTGTTGCTATAATATGCCCTATCATGACATCAAGAGAACCGAGATTGTATAAGAATATCACATCAGAGTCAAGGACTCAATATCAAATAATCAAACAAGGATAACGCACCATAGTCGTATTTTCTCATTGTTCCAAAAATCGCCTATCCAGATCAGAAATTCCCTATATGGATCGAGAATTGCAGTGATTGTGCCAGTTCTCGACTGGAAACGACGATTTAATAATTATCTGTATACAATCTGTAATAGTCTAATGTTGAATGTCTTAGCTGGCTATCATCTGTGGTATTTTATGAGAGGTTCTGAACCTCCCCAGTGCCACATATTTTGAAGAGCCAAAGTTTTGATTCAATTATTACATCAAATGTAATATTTAATTGTAAGGCAGCTGAGCTTTAATAGCCTAGTTGGTTTTCATCTTCAGTTTCTCTTTAATAGATTAGGGTTCAAACCCCCAAAGGCGCTTCTTATGCACAAAATCTAGCCAACATGGCCATTCAAGCACTTTGACATATTTTCTACATGTATAAATTATATGTGTATATATATATATATATATATATATATATA